CACACAGAGACAGGGGAGGGGCACGGGGTAGGAAGGGCACGGGGTAGGAGGGCAGGAGGGGGAGGGCAAGGCAGGCGGGATAGGATGGACGCAGGGTCCCCCCCCTGCAGCATGGTGGAGGAAGGGAGGGATGATGGCCTGCTTCACCTGTGGCGTGGGCTCTTCTGCTGCGCCTCCTCTTGGTCACACGCCTGGTGGCTTCACGTGTGGCGTGGTCACACCCCTGTTGGCCATCCTGGTGGTGCTCCCTCGTGCGAGGCGCCGCGGCAGGAGCTCCTCGGACCAGCAGGTTGCCATCCTCACCCCCACCCTCGTCCGCGCCTTCAATCCTCTGGGCGCAGCGCATAAGGCGGTCCACGTCTGTGCTCCGCCCTACTGGGCCGCGACAGTTGTCGTCGCGACCATTTCCGCCCCTTTCGCATGGGTCGCGAAGCCTCCCCTCCACGCCCGAATGGCTCGCTGGCCATGGCTCCCATGACAGGGCCGGATGAGACCTATTGAGCCGGCGAGAACTCGCCGCGCCACAACCCAAGCGCCCTTAATCCTTGTCCGTGTTCTTTCTCATCCTCCTTTGCGGCTTCCTCGCCCCCCCCCCCTCCGCCCCTGGTCCCCTCGCCAGGCGGGCGAGGAAGCTGCTGGCGATAAGGCAGCAGACGCCTCGCAGGACCGACGGGCGCAGGTGCGTGCCGTTTGGGCAGCGCGCAAGGCCTCTGAGTTCTGGGCGCTTGGCACAGGAGGAGGAGGAGGAGGTGCTGACGGCGGAGGCGGAGGCTGAAGAGGAGGAGTGGGAGTAGCAGCGGCCAGGATGAACGAGGAGGGGCGGGAGAGGACTGAGGAGCGGGACGGGAAGGAGGAGGGGGGATGAGGAGCGAGGAGGAGCGGGGAGGTGCGGAGACGAGCTAACCGCAGGACGATTTTTCTGTTGCAGCCCCCCCCACGGAAAGCTCTGGCTCGGCAATCAGGTGTGACGGTTGGCGGCCGAATCATTAGTTTTTGTTTTGCCCAATGTTGTTCGCCGTGCTTTTGTTTGTTTGGCGGTTATTTCTGGCGGATATCCCCCCCGGGCGGTCGGAAAGGGGTGGCGGGGTGGCCGCCCGGGGGTGGGGGCGGAGGGGGGGGGCGGGGGCGGGAGGCACATACCACGGGGCTTTTGGGGGCTTTTGGCGCAATTTGTTGTCTGGAAGTCCACAGTGACGGAGGCAACATGTGAGAATCGGCCCAGGTTGGCTCGATGCGGCGGGGGTCTTCAAGTGTGGCTTGAGGGAATGGCCCGACACACAGGCAGCTGCAGTCGCGGTGGAAGGAGGTGGTGGTGAGGAGGAGTTGAGTGCCCATGAGGATTCTCCCAAGGTTGCCGCACATCGGATTTCTTTCAAGAGGGTGTTGTGTGCCCTCTTTGTTAAGATCCGTCTTCTGCTGCTCATACCGTCTCTCCTCTTGTCCGTTCCCCTCCTTGTATTCGATCCATCCTTCCTCTCCTCGTCGTGTTCCTCCTCCTCTCCGTTGCCTCATCCTCCACAACCACCACTCCTGATGCTCGTCACCCTCCCCTGACCAGCCATGCAACAACTTCTACTTCCCCTCCTCCTGCAACGTATCCGACTCCTCGCCCTTCTACTAAGTAGTATAGTCCTCTCTGTCATGCGACCCTTCATCATCTCTCGTTCTCATCTCTCTTCATTCACCTCATCATCAATTATCCCAGTTTGTCTCCCTCTCATCCCATGCCACCTCCTGCTTCTCCACCTCGTGCCCCACTTCTTCATCATTCGCTTATCGTTGTCATCAGTGCACTGTGTCATCCTTCTCTCTTTCTTTCTTCCTCCTCCTGCTTCTCATCCTCCTTCGTTCCTTCTTCGTTCCTCCTCATGATGATGCTCATCCAGATGATCATTACGAATGTTGTACCTCCGCCCCGAGGTTAAATGCCAGGGGGATGTCTCACGCGAAACGCCATGCAGCATCATTGAATCCGAAATGTTCTGCATCCCTTTTGTTTCTGGACCTCGGGGATGCGATCTGCGATAGAGATGCGACCGATTTTCGGAATTACGAGGATGCCCAAAAAGAAACGGCTAGAAAGCCGCGAACGGGAGCGGACGGCCCGAATTCATTGTTTCTGAGCTCTGCTCCTTTGGGGAGGCGCGGAATATACGGACTTATGCACCTCCGCCGCTTGCCTTTGTTTCCCCTACGGTTGGCGTCGAAACGATGACGTACGATGTGGCGCCGCCGCCCTGCTTGCAGTCATGGCGCTGGGTTGAGGACAACTTTGGCTCAGGAGGGGCCCTGGTTTTCGGATCGTTCCTTCGGCCCAGGTCGGGGCACCTGCCCGTTGCCGAAGCTCGCCGTGGCCAGAACAGCCCCTTCGTTTCATATCTAGCCTTCCTTTTGGTAGCACCCCGACTGAATCACATGCTATCCCCCACCGATTGGATAGAGGGCACGGAGGACGCCCTGGCGCGGGATAGCGAACACATACAAGGATTTTCCTGGGGGGGTCACCTCGTGGGGATAACGAGCATGGAGGAAGCCTTGCTTTCCGCAGGTCGGTGTTGCACGCTTTCTCGCGACGCCAACCGTATGTTGTACGGTATGTTCGTGTCGTGTCGACCGGCGGCGACCCCGCCCCGGGCGAGCAAGGTTGAGCGTTGGCGACCTAGAATAGGTCGATGTTGCACCATCTGAAGTTTCGGATACGGCTGATCGTTCAAGGCTGACCGATCCTCGCGTTGTCAGAAACCAACGCCGGAGTCGGCACGATACGAACATGCCGTATTAGACCCCTCCCAGGCCATCTTGGGGCCGTCTTGGCCGTCTTGTGGGTCTATCGCGCCCGTCGTAGGGATGCCGTGAGGTCGTCTCGGACCGTCGGTCGGCCTTCTGACGTGGTCTTGGATCGAGGAGGCGTGGTCTGGCCGACCTCCTCTCCCCTTTGTTGCTGGGATGACTGCGCTCTCCATCCGCCAAGGCTCGCGTGTCGCATCTCAGGCCGAGCGTGCTGATTGTCCTAGCCGTCCCGGCTCCGACAGGGCGCGCCGCAGAAGACGAGCGTCGCCCAGTGGTCCCGGCGGCCCTCCGGCCTGCCGATGCAGGCCGGCCGTGGGGCCATGTTGGCCTCGGCGCTGCCGGCGGCGCTGCCGAAGGCGCCCGAGCATGCTCGGCCTGCGGGAGGTGTCGGGGGTCATGAGGCCAGGTTGAGCCGGGGACTGTGCCGAATGAAGCGGAATTCAGCCGATGCGGGATTGTGCGGGATGAGTTGGTCGGTTTGGGGGCCTGGCTTAGTCGTAATGATCAGGGCGGGGTGGATATGATGGCAGGGCTCGGTAGCAGATCATGGTAAGCTTGTGCACTCTCGCAAGGGTGCGTTAGCGTCGATATAACGCTGGGTCATCGATGAGAAGGCGCCATTCTAGCGTAGATGAGCGTTGAAATTCAGTCGGCTCGGATTAGTAGGTCGACCCTGTCAAATCAAGGGTACCCTTGTGTCCTTTGTCTCGCGACCCGTGCCTCCTGCATTCCTATGGCAATGTGGCCCTCGGAAGGGTCTTTTGTCCTCTCGCGTGTCCTGTCCAATGAAGTCTGACTGTAGCGTAGATTGGTGTCGTTGAGACGTCGATTCGCAAGAGCCAACCAATGGCACGGGAGGCTCCCATGAGTTGCCTCCGAAAGAGAGGGGTGACGAACAGGGCGGGTGGGACATCATGGCCGGGGTCATGATGTGTCGCTGGATCTCATGCCTCCTCTTTTTCTTTCAGTGCGTTCCCTGGCCCGTCCCCCTCGTCCGCGCACATGCCTCGGGCCATGTTTTGGAGATTTCTGTCTTGGAAGCCCCCCTCTTGAATGACCCCGAAAATGGGAAGTCCCTGCGGTGGTCTCCTCTCCCCTCTCTCCCTCCCTCCCTCTCCTTTCACCTCCGCCTTTTTGTGCCTTCCAGGAGGCACTCGTCACTCAACGGCATGATTCGCCTCGAAATTTTGATCTGAACGCACCCAGGGTTTCCCCATCCGTTATCGCTGGGTTTCCCTATCTATGTCGTCCCCATCCGTGTTCCGTCTCTACCCTTGTTAATCTCTGCGTCTTACCCTCTTTTACGCGTCTCCCCCCTTTGCTTAAGTTCGTCCTCTCTTCTCCACTTCTGCGTGTTTTTCCGTTTCTGCACCGTGTGCTCTTCTCACGATCTATTCCGTCCACATTCGGATTCCTATAGTATATGTGTTGTCTAATATTTGTTTGTGTCTCTCCTTCTCTCTCTCTCTCTCTTTCTCGTGTTTTGTATGTTCTCTCTCTCTCTCTCTCTATCAGTCGTTTCCTCACTCAGCCGGCTTCCATTATCAAAACCTCTACAACCTTTAGTCGCAGCGCTGGCGGACGCACAGGTCGGTCGGGGAATTCCCCACCCTCTATGCACAGTAACTCCCTTTTTTCCTCCCTCTGCTCTCTGAGCCCTCTGCCCTCTCCAAGCCCAGCGCCGATCACAGTATGCTTGCGCCTGGCCGGCCCGGTCCCTTCCAGGCTCCAGCCGGCTCCGGGCACTTCCACTGTTGAGCGATGCCGTGCTCGGCGCTGGTGCGCGCCGCTGCCTGGGCGAGTGGTGCCTGCGGGCCACGTGCGCGCACCTCGTTGAGGCACGATGTGGGCTCCAGCCATATCGTGAAAGGCGGGCATGTCCCTCCACAGGAGGATTGATTAAACATAGTCCAGACATTGTCTGGGGGAGATTTGTCTACTATCTCAACTATTTTTGCATATTGGTAAAACTTCTTCCTTTTTCCTACCAAAGCCAGCCTGTAGGAGGAGATGCCCGCCCTAACCGTATCTTGCCAAAGCTAGTTTTGAGCTGGGTGTTTTTCTAACAACAGGCTGAGTTTCGCGCGCTCGCACTTGCTACAATCAAATGACGCCGCATCATTCCTAGCATGATCATCCAACATCGATCGTGAGGGGTCCCAATCTTAGTCAGATGCCACCCGGCGCGCTGAGTGCGCGTCTTCAACGAG